AAGGTTTCTGTATTAGTTCCTCTGGAGTGGGGACATCAAACCCTTTCATGTTTTGGGTTTCCTACCTATCCCCATATCTCCCGTATGTGCTCTCCCCTTGTCATGTGATCCAAGTCCAACTACATTGCTGTATTTGCCCTAGATCTAAAGTCTGCATATGATGGAGAACATATGATTTTTAGTCTTCTGAGCCTGGCTAACCTTGCTCAGAATGATGTTCTTCAATTCCATCTATTTACTTGCAAATGATAAGATTTCATTCTTCTTTATGGCTGATTACTCCAATTATTTATTTCATCTTTTTTGTGAAATATAAGTACATTAGGAACATTAATGTATGTTTTATGCCTTTTTATAATAAATGAAACTTTATATTCAGAAACTATGTATAGTACATATATATGTATATATATATATATATATATTCCACAACTAGATGTGTGGTCCATTCATTCATTGCCTTTTTTGTACATTGTAGAATACCTTTTTGCAAACTAGGTGAATCATATCTGTGAGTATGTATTGATTACTGAGAGCTTATTATTGTTTATCATAGGAACAATTCATAATGAATGTTGAGCTATACATAGGACTTCTTTATAATGGCCATTGTTCCTTTTGAGATCTTTTCCCATGAAGCTTCTGAAACCATCCTCAGTCAAAATTAGTGCCTTTGTTTCCATATAATTAATGGTTTTATCAATTTTTTTGGTAGTTGGACAGTAGTAGGTTATATGGGCTTTCTTACTTAGAAAGGAAACTAAAGCTATTAGTATATCTATTACAAGAGAGGGCCTTTTAAATACTTTTAATGAGGAAGTTCATTCTTAATGCAGAAGGAAATAATTTCACATTTCAGTATTATTATATTATCTTAGTGAACACTTAAAAATTGGGCCAATTGCTTTCAGGAAACACATGTGCCAAACAGCCTCTTAATGTATATCTGACTAGCATGGCCTTAATGGATGTACAAAATATTTTGTAAGAACGATTCTTAATGGAAAGATAAAAATTTAATGCTAATATAGAGAGTTAAGTTTTCCTAAAGAAGGATCCAAGAAGATTCTTGGATTCTTCTGCTCAACTACTAAATGTTCCTTTATCTGTATATTGTAATTAATTTCCTGTGAGGAAGTTTCCTTCTTGAATGAACCATCTTTCTTATGGATTCTTTTCTTGCTGCTTGTCATCTGTGGACATTAAGACATTTTCTTTCCATCATGAAGTCAACCAGACTCTCATGCTTTCTTAACACCCTTAATTACTATCTTCATTTTGTATCTGTTACTGTGAAATATAATTATATTCATTTACACTGAAGCCATAGTGCTGGTTAACATTTACCTGAAATTATATTGTTAGATAATGTTGAACTGATTTGGAAAATGAAGCTAATACAATAGAAATCACTAGTAACTATCGTTTCTAATATAAGAAATAACCAATAACATTCATTGGTACCATATGTAAATATATTACTTTAACTCTTTTTTACAAACAGTGCAAACAGTGGCTTATTTTACATAATTGTTTTATAACCCTACTTAGTATAATAGCAACATCTCCCACATCATTAAATATTCTACAACACCATAATTTTAATCACTGCATCATTTTCATAAACAGCTATAACACAATTTATATAGTATTTACTGTATATAAATATATATTTATGAAATAATATATTATTTATATTTGTATACAATTCAAAACACATCCATAACGTACACTCATTTAACTATCTATGAAGGTAAATCTATAAATAGATTGGTATTTATTCCTTTGAATATATTTTTTAAAACAATTCCTGAGTCTGGAGTGGATTGTAGGGACTTTTAAGGAAGTATGAATGAATTTTAGAGGCACTGAATAGGCCCAAAGAGTAGACTACAATCTGGCACAAAGTTCCTTTGGGCTGTGGTGTGGTCTTAATATGTCTTTCATGTTGCAAGTTAACCTTTGGAAGAGCTAGTCTTTAAATGGAGATGGAAAATTCAGAGTAAGCTTCTTCCTAGACTTTTGTGAAAAAGAGGGGTAAGAGATGGGAGGGCAGGAGAAGTTCAGGAAGACCTTGGGTTCCCTCTAGTTCAAAGCATTTCTCATGCCAAATCTTTGGGGTGACATTTTCAGAGGCCAAACTAAAATGATATATTTACAGCCCATTATTGTTTTTAAGATAAATGGACCAAAGCAAGTATATAGTAATTTACTATATTTTAACAAGAGTTATATTTGAGAAACTAAGGAATTTTCAGGTGACAAAGAGTGTGGCCCATGGAATGCTGAGTGGAGGGTAAAAGGGTTATGATAGTAAAGGGTAGGGCATGAGTTGGTATAATTTCCTCATCTCTGAGTTAACCTCAAACAGACTTGTGATTGACAAGACAAAAAAAAAAACATTGTTTAGGAACATTGATTTACTCGCAACAGGATGAATATGTGAGAGAGACTGAAGATTTCTGACAATACATTTATTAACTTGGAAGTGATAAAAGTGAAAGAAGAGCTGCAGCGTCAGTAAGAAGAAAGATTTTAAAGCCAAATATACAGAAAATAACAACTGAGTAGATCTGATGATGGGATTACAATTCAAAAAATTATTTAAACATGGCACATGGGATAATATTTAGATTTTTATTTAATGTTACACTTTTATCAACATGCCTCAAGTATTAATGTGCTCTTCAACAGAATAAAATCACTATGTTCAAATCCACATTTATATTTTTTTATTTCAAGCCTTGTCCTGAATATAGCTAGCCTACATCTCTTATTTCAAATAAATAGTATTTGTTTGTTTGTGTGATAATACTAGAAATAAGAAATGTTCATAATGCCACGTACATAATCAAATGATACAATTAATATGTAGTGATTATTTTGAAAGGTTGAGTCATTGATAGGATCACATTTTGGTGTTCATCTTCAATCAGGTAGAATTCTAAGATTGAAGTGAATATTCTCTAAATCTTAAAAGTAGACACTATGTTAAACAAAATGAAATATATTCATAAAATAATTATTTTATTATATTTCTATTAGTTTTATAATATAACTTTAAGTCAAAGTGATTATCATTTTAGTGATTTTAAAATTCAATGGGAAAATAACTTAAAGCATAATATATTAATCTATTTTTGTAGTCTAAACCATCTTTGGATTGAAGACATTTCTATCCATACTCAAATTCAAGAAACTAGAATGTGTATTCAGTTGCCTTCAGTGTTAGAATTGCCTATTTGTGGAGATTAATATACAAATATTTAATGTCAATTCATTTTGACATTTTTGTTTGGCTGTGGAGAAATGTATTTTGCGAGTACATGGGTGGTCTTTTTTATGCTTTTTTTACTTTACTATGTAGAGGAAAGGAATCAACAAGTAAGTTTAAAAAAAAAATAGATGATGCTATTTAAAGGTAAGATAGGTCAGAGATAAACCACATAGCCTAACTGCTTATTCTTTCCCACTTCCCATTTATGCTATTTAAAAGAACAAAAAGCCTTTTTATTTAGCAACATGCATTACTCCAGGTAAAAGCCAGAAAAAAAAAAAAAAGGCTGGGTCCACACTCAGAATTACGTAGCATTCTTTTTGCTTGAGCATGGTGAAAAACACCAATAGATCTGTTCATACAAACACACAAAAAATATTTTTAAATGTCAAATGCACATTCATTAGAGTTTATTACAGAAAAATGCATTTAACTCTGTGGAGGAGACACATAATCTGATATGCATTAAGCTGTTATTTATTGTTCACTAAGAAACTGAAAATGATTAAGAAGAATGACTATGCGTGGTTGCTACTAGTTCTAGGTATAAGGATACTGCTTATGACAATTTTAATTTTATTGATTTTAAGTACATAACATGATTCACGTATTTCTACTACCAGTGACAAAACTATAATCTGCATAATGCTAAAAGAAAATTGTCATTCCCTGGAATATGTTGCAAAACCCAAACGTGTATGTAATTTTAACTTGATCTTTATGCTGTAAGAATGTTATTGTTGAGTCCCTTGTCTTCCCTTTATGGACTAAAATTTTAATATGATCTGCTTCCTAGCCTTGGAACCCTTATGTTGACTATGATGACATTCTTTGTAAAATAATCTATTTTCATCAGAGTTGTAAAAGTTGAAGGGTCTAAGAACATACCACCTCAAAATATGTTACTCTATGACATTGACTATTTTGCGCTGCAGTCACTTAAGGGACAGCACAAGCAGGAGGTTCTCTCTGACTTCCTTGCCCCTTTCTACCTAAAAGAACTTTGTAAAATTTACTCTCAGAATTGTCCCTCTCCTCTGTACCAGGAAGGGAAGAACATCATTATCACCATTGACTGTATATCGAACTCTGGTTCTCTTAATGAACAGCCAAGTCCAGAAACTTGTGAATTTCTAGTCATGAAGCACCTATCCTCTTTCATCTTTGAAATTATATGTCACTACTATGAAATTCCTTTTTACACATTGCACAATGCTTTGACAAAGAAATCAAATTACCCTGGGGAGACAGAACTATCATTTCTAGCTATTATAAAAATGTAATGGCAGTAGCTATGTTCAGATAGCAAAACATTAAAATGGATATGAAAATAAATTAATCTTGGTACACAATCATTTTGATTTTGTACAATTTGATCTTCCTAGTGCTCAATTTCATCTTTTGCTAATAAGTATGTTGAAAATTTTCATCAAGAAGTTTCAAGAATTGATGTTTTGTATTGATTAACTATTAAGTCTTAATGATCAGTCAGGTCATATACTATGCCTATAGTAGAAAGACAGCATGTAGTATTGAGCTAATGAATTCAAATAGGTTGTTTCTTTTGTGTAACTTATGGTTTGTAAGCAATAGTCTAGGTGATTATATTATTAAACAGTATTTACATAATACACTTCAGAGTTTAATCCAACACGAGTTTATTTATTCAGTTCATTATTTGTGTGTTTGTATGTATGTTTGTACCCGTATGTATGCCTTACAGCTGTTATTTCAAGAAACCAAGAAGGGCCAGGAGAAATGGGGAAGGCTGTGCTGATTCCTAAAGATGAACAAGAGAAAATGAAGGAGCTGTTTAAAATCAATCAGTTTAATCTTATGGCCAGTGATTTGATTGCTCTTAACAGAAGTCTGCCGGATGTAAGATTAGAAGGGTAAGTTTACACATGTTATATAATCTTATATATTAGTAATCTCTATATTTTAGAATCTCAGAATTTAGCTCAGATTATATTAATTCAAGAACAACATGGCTCTGATTACCTATAATCCACATGAAACTTACTGTGCATGCATGTATTGAGATATATGAACTCTTTTCTTTCTGACAGAGCATAATATATTATTGCAAAGGCATTGTAGAATACACAATCTCAACAGGTTTTTCTTTGTGAGATCTTTGTTTTTCTTTGCTTTATCTTGCCAAATACAGAAAAAGAAAAGCATGCCCTTTAATAGATTATTTACTTACCTGCATAGAATGCACCACATACTTTGTTTTGAAAAAGCATATACTTTCCTAGTTTTGCATAAAGATAGCCAATTTCCTGAATTATCCACTGGCCCTCTATAATTATTTGTTGAGTTCTAACAATTTATGCTGCTATTTATAATTAGAGTGCTCAGTTATCGGCAATAGAAGATATATTCACTTTGAAATTTTGCTGCATGAAAAATGATGTCGAAAAATTCAACTTTTATGTGATTAACTATAAACTATGCTTTTGATATTTGAACATACTTTAAATGGATGCTATAAAAGGCAGAATATTTAGTGGTATTCATTGCCATCTTAGAACAGACTCCTTGTTAAATAGACTCTTGGTATTCACAAAATACATGTCCTGAGATTTCAGAAAATTCCAAAGTTTATAAATATACTTCAGGACACACACTCATGTAAGTAGACATTGTTTTTAGACAGGAAATTACTTTCTTTATACACTACAATCATAGTTAAATGCAAATAGTTTGCCATCTAAAATAGGCTATGTTACATTATTATATGGTAATATTAACATCATATTTACTGTGTGTATTTTATTTCCTGAATTACTTCAAATATCATTATTGAGGAGATTGAGTCTCTAATTTTCAAAAGATTCATTTGGTAGCTAAATGATTGGCTCCTCATATCACTATATCCTTTTGAAATGTCTCCAGAAAATCACAAATAACTTCATATAATAGACATTTTGGTCCCCAGAAAGTAGTTAAACATTGAATATTAAATACTTGTACTGAAAATATCTAAATATATTACACATTCCTGTTGCATATGCATATTTATATAATTTGAACACATTTTTATTTTTAAAGGTACAAAATAAGCATAGCTTGAGCATTTTAGATGCTATGTTTATTATGTTGTAATCTTGCACTTATTTCCTTGTTTCATATGCCATGGTGAGATAAAATGGGTAAGTATGATACTTGTGTATTCAAGGAACATAAGCATTTTCAATTTTTTAAAAAGAAGTCACTTTCAACTATCATAATATATATATATATATATATATATGAATTTTATAACAGATCTATGATAACAAAGAAAAGAACAGTCATGATGGGTTAGGAAAAAAATCCCAATTCTTCTTTAAGCAGACATATAACACATTTGTGAGCATTGGTAGTTCTTCTTTTAAGAATCACTTAACAATTAAATAACTGAGTTATTAAGCCTTAAACTGTGAAACAACTCACCTCTTTAAAATGGAGGATTAAATTAAATAGCATTAAAAAGTACACAAAATTCCATATTTACTACGGGTATTATTGCTTGAATTCTGAGAATTTACAAGCAGCTACTATATAATATTAGTGCAATAAATAATTTTCAGGTGTTTTCTGTGATAGCACAGTGTATGTCATCAGTAAGAATACAGAAATACCATCCCAGACTCCTAGAGAAATCTTAGTGCATGAGGTTCACTGGGGCAGCTGAAGTCATCTTGAATGATTCAGTTGTACAACTGCTGGAAACAATTAATGTTAAAAAACCCACCATGAGTCACATATCCAAAGTGATACTTAAAACTTGAGAAATATGTTAATGCTTGTTTGATCTAGGAAATAGTTTTTAAATTTTTATTATCCATTTACAGTTCAGTTTTTAGATAGTTATATGCAAAACAAAACTCAAAAAAGATTTGAGGGCTGGAAAGGCTGGGGGTACAGCTCAGTGTGAAGCTTTTGTAGTATGTGTAAGGCTTAATCAGCAACACCACAAACAAATACACAACCAAAATAAAACCAAAAAATGCAAAGATATGCCTACTATTCTTGAGTCCTAGGTTCAATCTCCTGCACCACAAAATAGAGGGGGGTGTGGAGAAATGGATACCTTAAATTATAATGTTACCCAAAATGATTAATATAAATTATATGAAGGTATAATGGAAACCCAAATTATTACTTTCAAAGAGCTTAAGTTGTTTTAATTACAATTCAAGGTAATACTAAGAAAGTGCCTGAACTACCCAGATATTAGATTCCTTCAAATAGCCAACTCCATTTTATTGCAAATATGCTTAAACTGTTTTGACTTAATTCAGAAAATTGTCAAGTTTAATGTTGTGTTTGCATTAATATAAATCTGAAAATATTTGAAGAGATACATATATAGAGAGTTTTTTGGCAGTACTAGGATTTGAACCGAGGGCCTCACATTTGTTAGGCAGGTGCTCCTTGAGCCATGTCTCTAGCTATTTATGTTTTAGGTAGGGCCTCACCATTTTTCCCTGAGGCTAGCCTCAGACTACAATCTATGTATGGTCAAAGAAGATGAGATCACAGGCACTTGCCGCCTCCCCAAGTTTAATTATTTCTTTGAAGGACAATTAAAGCTGGAGCTCTTTACTAATTTACTTTCTTGAAAGCCTTCATAGGGTTCTTGTTATAATCTAAATATATGTATAAATAAAATTCCATACAGTTGTGACCAATTTTATGTTTCCTTCAGCAAAAACAAAAATATCATGAAAATCTGATTCACAATATCAAACAAATTATTAACTAGTGGTTTGAGACTCAATATAAACGATTTCTTAGTATGTTTATTATCAATTATGGACTTAAGATTTTGTAAATTTACAGAGGTTGCATTTTAGAAGAAAAGAAATTAAATACTTCTGTTTTAAGAAAGTTAATAGGTAGGTGGATTTGGTTTATTTTTGAACCCAATTTTTATATTTTTTGTTAAGATTTGAGGAGAGAGAAAGAGAGAAAGAATATGAATCAGTCATAAAACTGAAGAAGTATATTAAGGCATTAAATATTATTTTGAGCACCTGTTTCCAGTAACATAATAAATAAAAGAAGAATAGAAAGGGAAAGAGAAGAGAATAGTGTAGGGAGGGAGAACCTCTTTAATAAATTCAACTTGAGCACAATAGTGACTATTGTAGTGGTTCAACCTGTAATACCAGCTTCTTTGGAGATGAAGGTCATTATTTTTCTCTAGCCAGGGCAAATAGTGAGAATCTAGCTCAACCTATAAGCCCAGCTACACAGGGCGTGTAAGTAGGAGGATTGTATCTAATGCTGGCCCTGGATGAAAAGCACAAGACCCTATCTGAGAAATAACTACAGTATAAAGGGTTCAAACCCCAGTACAACCAAAAGTAAATAAATACATACTAAAGTAAAACCCTGAGCAAGTTAATGGGCCTTAAGCATTTAAATATTATAACTTCTTTTTACTAATACATAGAATTGATCAATACTAAGCTTCTGGAACGGGAAATGCTAGAAATATAACTGCTCTATGGATATGCAAAAATATCACAAAGTTCAAAAGCAAATATATAAACATTAAACCAGCACATCAATACACATATATGTTATTTTGTTGTCTTATGAAAGCAGCACTTGTGTTTCTTTGAGAACAGCAGAAATAACATTTTAGTTTATGAAGGCATCTTAGCAGCCGATGTTAGCCATGCTGCCAGGTTTTACTGAAAGTAGAGAAAGGAGTACTCCTATATCATAGTCAATGGCTGGGAAGAAGACTCTGTTCCATTACAGCAAAGCAAATAGGGAGAACAAAGACCAATTGTAGAGAGAAGCTTAATCTCTAGGCAGGGAGACAGAGTGCATAGTTGTAAGCCCTTGCTGTACAGGACTTCCTGTGGCATCTTAGCAAGCCATTAGTTTTCTAAGTTCTGGTTTACTTTCACTGATTAAACTAACTAATCAATTACTCAACCATCCCTCAGCCAAATTGTTTACCTAATGCAAGGTCAGCTTTGAGAACAAATAATAGATAGGATAAGCCCTGACTGAGAAGAATAGAAGGAAGTATTTACATAAAAACTAATTAGGATATTGTATGAGCATATGTCATGAAAAAGTGATAAAGAATAGAGTTGCACTGTATTTTTAGTGAAATATATAAAAATATTTTCAACTTGCTATAAATATTATATCATTATACTATGGAATTTTCTTATGCTTTTTGGCTCTTGTTTGAGATTAAGGGAACTATTTATGCAGCCATCTTTCCCTTCTGCTCTTTGCAATTCTTTTTGAATAAGAAGTTAACAGTAATTATTGAATGAATATTTATAAAAAAGCTACAGGCAATTAAAACAAAATGCTAAAGTACTTTGCATTTACTTTTATTCAGGCATGTAATAGCACTTCAGGTACTGGTATTGAATTATTTGAAGGCTATAATGCAGCTGGCATTTAAATATATTTCATCAGGAAAAATGTGGAAATAAGAAATTTATTTCAGCTATTTATAACATAGGCCAAATAACTGCTTCTTAAGTATGCACACTTGCAAGCTGATAAAGAGAAAAAGACTCTAGCATTCTTGTATTATTAGTGGCAACTGAGCTTTTGCATACAAATTTTGAATAAGTTGCTCTCAGAGAACAAAGAGTTTATTTACTACATAAAATAGAAATAAACCATACTATATCTTTTCCTGTGCTCAATCTCTAAAAAGTACCTGTCTATTTATATTGATTGCCTTTCCCATAAATTAAAATATGATAAATGTAGCATTGATTGCACAAAGAAGAAATAGAAAATGAGAATATTAACTAGATTTCTGATCTCTGTTCCACATCTTTTCTTTTTAATTTGAGAACTACTACAACTTTCATATAGTGGCAAACATTTTGCCTGTGAAGATGATAATGACTTC